ATTGTTATATAATGGACCGTTTAATGCTTCATCTGGTTAGCTTGGTTTTTAGTACGATATTCCAGTCATCATAACCTCAATAAGATATTTGTCCAGTGCATTGCTCATTTATTCATTGTTCATTGTAAAACTATTTTTGTTATCTCATTGCAACCACACCAAGAATGACTTGACAAATAAAGAACAAAGCTAGCGCCGCCATGTTGAATGATTGAACAAGATAGGTCGAAAAGCAAATGGCAGTTTCCTATCTTCAGAAATTAGTGATAGTGAGTCAAATAGGTTGACAAATGGTCCAATTCGAGACAAGACATGATTTTTACTCATGTACACTAAGTGCATCACCATTTTTTTATTCTAACACTTTTTGAAATAGCGAATATATTTTAACGTTTTCATGGTGGATTGTTGAGACGTCAGAAGATTAGTGCTGCTACAAGTTGCATCTTATTGTTACCGTAGCTGGTAAAGTGTAGCTGTCAAACCAAAAAAGGAAGCATTAGTGGCAGCCTTTGTTTTTTTATTTGTTTAAAAAGAACGTAATCTTAAATTACTTAAAACKAATCGTACGCTGTAAGAATAAGCAGTGACGATCGTCACAACCCAGAGAGAAAATCTTGTGCCAGGAGTTTATAACTCGAATAAGGATTCTCGATGAATTCTTTCCAAATCCTATCAGCGCTAGTTTTACTAACCATTCTGGATCATGGAGTGGGACAAGGTAAGAAGTTTATAAATAAGTTTTATTTATTTTATTTTTATTTAATATGACTTGAACAGACAGGTGTAAATGTTTTAAACAAACCTATATTGAGTGGGCGTTGGTTGTTCACCAAACATCAATTAACGGTTCTGAATTAATTACGTTTTTAAATTTTGTATGAAAATAAAAAAAAGAAGGCGAGACCAAAAAATCTTATATAGCATCATAGGGAAAACATTTGGTAATACTAAAAACTGTTTTGAAAAACAATATGTGCATTGTGAAGGTTACTTTTGAACTTTTAAATTTAATCACGGTAATCAGATGGGTCTCTTTACAACGTTGTTTCTAGTGGAAACGTTTTATYAAGGAAAAAACAAGTACATCAGGAAATATGTAGCTTTTATAGTTTCACCTKTAAATAATAACCGATAAATGTTAAGTAGTCTTTTATTATTTGAATGGTCCAAAATATGTACTTAATTGTATTTGTAGTCACTTAACTCGCCTAAACAAAAASCATATAAACAATATATTGTACCGCATCAAGTACTTCTCTTCTTTCAAATTCTTTATATTGATTTTAGCTTTTACGTTCAATTTTCTTAATGTTTCACTGACATTCAATTCGGTGGCTGCCATTAAAAAATGTTAAAWAATCTCGGAATTTCGAAATACCTATAATTTCTGCGAAAAACCTGATTTTAACATTTGATTAACCATTAAAAAAGAATGGCAATTTGTRTTTTCAAGAAGAGACTGGTACCGGTTAGATATCTATTGAGAGAAGACAATACATAACTGGTTGTTGAATGGATGTTTCACGGGTATCTACAGGTATGTCAACACGGTCAAGTAGTCKGAAAGTATACAATCCGCAGACAAATTTGGAGTATTTTTTTAAGCGTTTGGTGTTGCTTTTTTAWAGTTATTTGTTGTTATATTAATAATTTAATTTGGTGATTTGGTCTGCATTTGGGATATTTTTTTGGTATTTGAAATGCTAAATTGTAAACTTGATAAAAAACACCGACCGGGAAGTGTAGCTTAAAAAAACAAAGCCGGCRAGTTCATTAAATAAGGTTTATCAATCACTTGATTTGAAGCATTTCCAATTGAAACATCTATCCTTGATAGTTTTAATGAATTTTGCTTGACAAGGAACCCAAGCATATACAAAATGTTTATTGAATGCTTATTAAGAAGATGGACAAAAAGAATAGGTTATTTAAAGGTGTCATTGAAAAAGAAAAGGTGTCAAGAGGACACATTCACCTAAGTGCTCGATGAAAAGTGTTTGCAGTATTATTTTCTTTTACGTAACAAGTTAAATTTATCGCAATGTGCCGTTTTACTTGGCTAAATGAACAACGACAGTTGAAGATAAGAGAAAGCGTCAAAAGCTGTTATTTTCATAGCTCTAACTATTTGTAGTGTCTCCGATTTATGTGGTTATTCAACTTTCAAATACAACGTCGATTAACGTCGAAAATCATATTTACTCATGACATGATAATCCTTTGGAAAAGACATTCAATCCCAMAAAAACAAAGTAGAATTATAACTGGTCATGGTTCGATATTTCTTCARCYTCATTTCACTACGAAAKAACTTTCATTCACAGCTGTAGATGATGGTTCATGTGTGACTATGACACGTGGAGATGAGTCGTTCAATCAAGATATCAGGGATGTTCCTATGAAATGGTACGAGACGCCATCATTTGTGACCTTGTCATCAGGTAAAGTGAATTGGAAAATAATTTTTTTCTGTAATGACGGTTCATTAACTTCATGTAGCCACCTTTGTGTTCAAACCTTCAACCTTTCTACCAAATCAAAAAATTAACATGATTTAAGAATGTTCTGCAGCACTTGCGTGTCAAGAAGTATTCTCGACGGATGTTAGTTGTTAACACAGAGTCGGCAACAGAAAACCGGCCAAGATACCATTAACTAGATACCTCGTGAATAGTTTACGAGGACTTGAATAGGAGTKCAGGGACTGCGAAAGATAAGTCTTATTTGAATTTGTTCACATCAATTATTTAGGATGCAAAGGTCAAGACCCTCTTGGCATGGAAAGCGGTCTAATAACAAGACAGCAGCTTAAGGACACCTCTTCATCGTATRATAAATTCCACGGTCCAGAGAATGGCAGGCTRAATTTCGCAAGGGCAAGAGGAAGGACTGGTTCCTGGTCAGCAGCAACCAATGACGAAAACCAATACCTCCAAGTCGATTTTCTTCGAAACGTRAAACTGAGAAAATTTGCCACACAAGGTAGACCAGATGCTGCTCAATGGGTAACAAAGTACAAGCTGACATATAGTCCCGATGGCTCTTTGCCTGCTTTCGAAACATATCAAGAAAATGGAGTCGATAAGGTTTGCAGAAATTTTTTTTTGTTACTTTGTATATGATAAAAGATTATACATTATGAATGTTTCACCTGAAGTGGTGCCTAGCTACTTAACAAACACTCTAGTTGTCAAGATGTTGCCTACTTTGCAGGTATCGTTGCTAGCGTTATTATCGAGACTGCGAATTCGAATTTTTATTCATGAGACTATACAATAGAGCGGATTTCGTATGAGTGGGACACCGTTACCGCACGGTTACCGCACAGTTACCGGACCTGGCCTGCACAATTTTGGTGAACCAGTGGGGCACTAGAATTTGGTTACAGTACGRTTACGGTCACAGTACAGTACCGTCCGTTTCCCACTCATACGAAATCCGCTCTATGGGATAGATCACATAACTTAAAATTCGTTTTGCCCTTTTGTTTTCAGATCTTCGAGGGAAATACTGATCAGAACACCGTTGTCACTCATACCCTGCAAGGAACAATCAAAGCCCGATATGTACAGATAAAGCCAGTCGAATGGCACGGTCATATCTCCATGAGAGCAGAGTTTTATGGATGCGTTCTATCGAGTAAGATGATATATATTTTTTCATATTAATAAACCTTTTCACCTTTAAAAAGCAAAAGCCAATATGGATTGCTAGCGTCGGTACAAAGTGGAATATACATTCAAAATCAAAGCGAAAAAAGAAAATCATTCAATTTTATTGGGCTTTTTTCTTGATTTTCTTTACCTACATTGCGCCATGTTGTTGAACTTTGAAAGACTTATCGTTGTATGCCCTAATAATTTTATGTGTATAACTGTGCATCATTCAACAGACCGCTATCAAGTACTGGGTCGAAATGTTCACATGGATTACGTTAAAGAACATCTGAGGACAAAGGAAGGAGTKGATTTTGGAGACACCCAAATACGTCCTAACAACATCGAACTTGAAGTGCTTGCTGAAACCATCTATGTCCGCGTACGTTATAATAATACTGCAATACCTGTGAACATGTCAGTGGTAGAGCGGATTTCCTATGAATGTCGAGAAAAAACAAAAGGGCCTTTAATTCGGCTGTGACCTTACCGTGCCGTGACGGTACTGTATTCTAAATCCATATCGACATTATGATTTGACGAAACTACCAGACGATGTTCCGTGACCTTGACTTGTGTTCTGGTCTATACGCAGTCATACGAAATCCACTCAAGCACCGTTGGTGGTTGTAGTGATAGTATTGGCCGGTATTGTTAGGGTGGTGGTAAGGGTACTAGCAGATATATAGCTGTTGTCTGATACAGTATGAGGGAGGTTTCGATGGTTCTAGAAGCGATGATAGTGGTGATGGAAGCTGTGGAAGGTAATCATATGTAAATCACGTGTGTTCTACACAAACTTGCAGGGAGTCGTCCAAATGCGTGGTATAAGTAAGCTAAGGATGTTCAGTCGGAGAGTAATCTTTTTAAAGAACAGTAAACTGGATCTCAGAGCTCCTGTTCTATCGCAAACTAACCCCACATTAATCGCTGGGCAAGATGGAAACGACGGAAAACATGGTGTTGACGGACCAAAAGGTTTGTTTGTCATGTAATACTGATATAAGCATGTATTTTTTGGTCAAATTAAGTCAAATTATATTATATACTAAGAGGCGCATCTAGGACGATCTTCAGGAAGGAGAGATGATGATTTTTCAAAAAGGAGAAACMAAAAATCTCGAAAGGAAGAAGTTGTGCAAGGAAACACTAACCTCATCTCCAACTGATACAAATGAATGATGAATGTATGTTTTTTTCTGTTCATAGTTGAAATTATTACCGATGTATCACGAGGCTACGTAAATATTGAGTCAAGTGGAGGAAATGGAAACCAAGGTCAAAATGGTGCACCAGGAAGAAGAGGAGACGACAGCCAACATAGGGTAACAATGCTATCATTCTACAATATTTATTGATTTATCAGATTTGGAGAGTTACTACTGAAGTTGACGGGAATAATTGATATTTTTTGGCTCTTCGGTTATAGCAACCGAGCAGGTCAGGAACTGACTGCACAAATAATGCAGGAAGAAACATTTTTACGCACCGAATCACAAGTTGCAATAATGTTAATGGCCTAAAGGGGATAAGAGGAGGCAATGGCGGCATGGGTGGATACGCTGGAAGATCAGGTTAGTGAGATCATGACTAAATCATWGTCCTTCCAAGCAGCGTATCATCGAAGGCCCTACTATTTTCATGCAATCATGCAATCTTGGATAGTTGTGTTAAACGTGTCAATCCCATGAATCTCTACTTAAAGTTCATTGTCAGGCGGAGAAAACTCTGTTTGACAAGTCACTATAAGTCTTTGTTTTCAATATCACATACGCATTCTATTGTATAACTATCCACAGTCCCTGTTGTTAAGTTTTAAGCTGACAGAGGCTCATCAAAAATCTATAGAGAAAATCTCATATTACAGTCATTTGGTACGCTTCTAAACTATTTTCAAGAAAGCTATAATTCATAACAGAYTCATCAGTGTATTAATATATTTTAAAGGCAATGGAGGAAACGCTGGTCGTCAAGCTATTTTCGTCAGAAAAATAATAGGAAAAATAGAGATTAAAACCTGCCGTGGAAATGGAGGTCAGGCATCTGTAAATGGAGAAGGTGGAGCCGGTAAGATATTATTCATTCCCTTTCGACCTTTCCAAAGCCTTTTAAAAACTCTCAACTTGTCTAAATCAACAACAACAACATCTTTTTTTAGCACTCCTGGTATTAAAAGTTAATTAGAATAATAAGAGTAATTAGAGAATTAAGAACATGTATGGGCGCTGGCCATTTTAGTAATAGCAGAGCTAATCGATTTAAAATGGCAAATCATACAATGCGCTATATGATTGCCGACTTTAGATATTTTTGTTCAGTGTCCATGCACAAAAGAATTGCAGACGTCGGGGGTTCCCGGGGAAATAAAAGTAGAATAAATCAAGATCACACATTGTTTTCTCGGAGCCCCGTGTGCGTTCTTTTTTGCATATTCATCAAACCAAAATATCAAAAGTTGACTATTGCTCTAGTACTTCTAACTTTCTAACGCTTTAATATGGTTTTAATCAAATTTTAGGTGGTCTTGGAGGACAAGGAGGAAATGGAATTAAGTGCAGATTTTGGGAGCGTTGTGGTTTCGTTGCTTCATGTTCCAGTGGCTGTAACACCAACGGAGCATTAGGTCAAGGACCCCGAGGAGACACGGGGAGTAAAGGGCAAAACGGRCAAGGTAGAATAATTTTAAAGTCATTCTACAAAGAAGTTTTATTCTGTTATCAAGACATCTTGTTGGAACGGGCTCTTCAACAATTCAGAATGATSATAGTGTCYTCTTTTGATCCCTTCAAATTTAGGCTTGGTTGAGGCTGGCTCAGRCGGCGAAGTTGAAAGTTCTTATCTTCGTCAAAAGAAACTAATTAAGAGGGCGAGAAGAAGATATCCATTGGCTTTAATCAAACTCATGACAAGATTGGCCGAAGACCGTGTCTGGGCGAATGATCTTGGAGTGGCAAGATCAGTGTTTCAATTTGTCGTTCGATTGGCAGCAGGGAGAGAAGATGCAGAGAGCCTTAAGAAATGTAAGTCGTTAGTCACTGTAATAGTCAGTAAGGGTTTTTATTTTTCATTTTGCCATAAACTCAAACATAGCGGCTTCAACTCAGGAACGAAACAAGATATTTTTTAAATAATATTTTGATGCTGAATATTTTCTTGGWAACTTGGTTCCCTTGTTTTATTGTCCCACAGATGTAAGTTCTTATTCGGTTGCAGGCGTTAAGATCAATTCAAAAAATGAGACCCTTTTAAATAAGGTCATTTGAAAATAAGATACTCTTAAGTAGAGTCATTAAAAAAAAAAGATATCCTTAAGTATGGCCATTTCAAAAATGATACTCCTAAATAAAGTCATTGGAAAATAGTACTTAGTCCGTGATCCTTTTTCAGTTGCAAAGCACAGGTTGGCCTTTTTCAACAAGGAAGGATATGACAGATTTGGAAGAAATAAGTTATTCGCTCCATTAATGAAATGGGAAGCTTTCAGGCTTCAAGTAGTCCAAATTAGGGATTACGCCAGAGATTATGAAACTGCTTATAATGAAATCAAGGCATCTGTAGAAAGAGGAGATGGTATAAGGCAGGTACTGAGAGCACTTCCTCAGTCAGCCGTGGTTCAAGTTAACAAAGAGAAAGAAAGACTTATTGAAGCAAGGAGAATATCACTAACCGAGAAAGGGGCCTACGTACCGGTAAGGTTACCGGATTTCTTCCTTATTTCAACCATTGTGTTCAAATTCGAGCT